TGTCTTGATATGTGTTAATATGATCGTGATCGCTCTGCTGGAGTAAACCTTGATTTTCCATTTGTTTTTGCTGAGTTCGATTGCTGAAGGAATTTCGAGTTCCGACATCTTTCTTTTTTTGTCCAGAAGGATATTTACTTTTTCTTTCGGTTGAGTAGAATTATCTTTTCCTTGATGTGAAAGTCGTTGTGATTCTTAAATGGGACTAAAGGTTTCAAATTCCAATTATGCAACAGCATGGCAGTTATTTACAAGGAAGGTATGAAAATCCTTGAGTGATAATTTCAGCCATTCTGCAACGTCTGACAGGGCAACCATCTCTACCAGATGATGCGTCTGCCCATGCAATAAAAACAATGCCTGACGTTATAAGTGAGAGTTTTTTGGAACTAAACAATCTTGACGTCAACACTTCATCATAGGATTCGATCCTATTATATACCTGCTGATCAAAAAAGAACGAGAGACCTATTTTTGAATTCCTGCGCTTATCTAATCAGTAAATTTCTATTATTTTCACGCTGGCAACACTATTACACACATTATGTCAAAGTTTAACGCATATCGTACGATTAGTTTTTGCCGAAACTGTTAAAAAATGATAAAAAAAGGCCTTTGGTGATTTGTGTGTGGTGCAACCACGAGTATACGAATGGTTTAAAAGGTTTAAAGACGGTCGTACAAGCTTGGACAATGATGAGATCCTTGACCGCCCAACAACTTCTGCTACTGAAGAAAACATTGAATCGGCGAAGCAGATCGTGTTGGAAAATCGTTGTGAACCGATTAGAGAAATTGCAGTGTTGTTGGGCATCTCATATCTATCGACTGAACACATTTTAACTGATGTTTTGGGTTTAAAACGCGTCGCTTCTCGGCTGGTGGCAAAAAAGCTGAATTTCATTCAAAAAAGCCGCAGTTTTTGACTAAAAATTCCACCAATATCATCAACCAAGCACCGTACTCTCCAGATATGGCCCCGTGTGACTTTTTCCTCTTCACCCGACTCAAATTGCCATTGCGAGGAAAGCGCTTTGAGACCATAAGGCCATAAGGTAAAAATCGCCACTCGAAAATTTCGACTTTGCATAGACGCCATACAAAAACTTATCGTACGATATGCGTTTGACAGAATGAAAATAAAAAAAATTTACCGATTGGATAAGCGCGGGAATTCAAAAATTAAAAATTAAAGTTCTTTTTTGATCACAAGGTATATTGTAGAAAAAGTTGGATAAAACGACACATAGTAATTTTGAGCAGTCACTCGAGGCAGTAGGCATACGAGATAAGATTGTAGTTAGACCTATTACAAAAACGTTTACGGTAGGTATCTATCAACAACAGTATTTAAGTAATTGCAGTTAATAAATAAGACCTGCTGTGTAAGTAAATATCTTGAACTTACTTATTGTGGACTTGTTTTACTTTAATTAATAAAATATCCAGATTTGTGCATAAGAACATTTATAGGTTTATTAAAAAATGACAACTATAATTAATATACAATATAAAATGCAGCACACAAGCAAAACACGTTCGACTTTTTTCTCCTTAACAACCCGAACACCCTGGCAACCAAACACGTCACAGCACTAACACAAAATTGAACCTTTTGTGTTTCGTGTTATTGAGGTTACCACCTTTCTTGTCCATGCCGCCCCCGAATGCTGCATCCAGCATGATAATTCATTTGGTATTAATCAGTGGTTTTAGGAGCTGTGTCGGTGCCGTAGCTAGGAATAGGAAGCCAACAGAGCTTTGAAATTGAACGTTTGTATACGCCATGTTTAGTTTTAATAGTAACTACTCTTGTCAGTCCATCAGCACCAGGATGGAGTGCTATGATTCGACCTAGAACCCATTCATGCGGCGGAGAGTGGTCATCCTTGACAATGACAAGTTTGTTCAATCGTAGATTTGGATTTTCACTTCTCCATTTTGGACGTGTTTGTAAATGAGACATCCAGTTGGATTTCCATCGAGCCCAGAAACTACGTGCCATACTTTGCAAAACAACATATTGATGTTGAAGTGATGAATGGTTTGTAATACCATCCGGTGGCGTTAAAAATGTATCACCTATTAGAAAGTGAGCCGACGTCAATCCTAACAAGTCTTCTGGATCCGAGTTGAGTTGACACAGAGGTCTAGAGTTCAGACATGCTTCAATTTGGACCAAAACCGTTGATAATTCTTCATATTTTAGGCATGTGTTAACTGTACGCCGAAGATAATGTTTTACGGATTTAACATTGGCTTCCAATAATCAGCCGAAATTTGGTGATAATGGAGGATTAAAATGCCATTGGATTTGCCGATTGGTTAAATAGGGGACAATGTCGCGCTCTATATCTGACCTCCATTGTTGTTGTTTGGTTTGAAGCACCCGGTTTGCTCCGGCAAAGTTGGTACCACAATCGCTATATATGTCATTACAAATCCCACGACGCCCTATAAAACGTTGTAATGCCCAAAGAAAATGGTCGGTACCAAGACCGGTTACCGCTTCTAAGTGAATAGCCGTGGTTGCTAAACAAATAAATATGGCGATATACCCTTTATATTTAGTGTTTCCTCTGAATCGTGATGATTTTAGTTCTATAGCTCCGGTGTAATCGACGCCTGTCGCTAAAAAAGGCCGAGATGGAGGATTTACACGATGAAACGGTAAATCACCCATTAGTTTATTTCCTGGCTTAGACTTACATCGGAAGCATGTAACACATCGGTGAATATGCTGTTTTATCACCTGTCGTGCATTCACAATCCAAAAGCTGTGTCGTAAATATGTCAGTGTTAGTTGAATACCATCATGCAGGGTTATATGACGAGCGTGTTTAATGATTCATTCAGTGACATAGTGAGCCTTTGGAAGAATAATAGGATATGTTCTGTTGAACGGTAAATTTGCGTTTGCAAGTCTGACACGAATTCTCAAAATATCGTCTTCATTTTGCCAGGGCACTAAATTGCGTAATTTACTATGATGTGGTAAAGGCAGAGATGTTTTGATTGATTTAATTTCTTCATGGAACACTTCTTGCTGTACCTTTTGTATAATGATAATTCGGCTGAATTGTAATTCAGTATCGGACAGTGGACAGTGCCTTGGTTGATTACTGTTTTGTTTTCAAGCATTAAACGTAAAACGTAAAAGATAAGCAACTACACTTTGATGTTTTGAAAATAATGAAAACTTAATAAGGAGCGAGTTTTGCATCGTACTGATGTTGGCCCGTATGGGTGACCTTTTTAATTCAAGATCTGCTGCTGGAATGTTGTCATTTAAAACGTAGGTTGGCAAGGCTTCTTCTGGAAGTTGTAACCATTTCGGACTATTCCACCATAAATCGAAGTCATTTAACTGGTGAACGGTGAGCCCCCTTGTGGCGCAGTCCGCTGGATTCTCAAACGTGTTCACATAATACCATTGCGATGCAGAAGTCAGTCTAAGAATTTGTCCCACTCTATTACTTACAGCCGTCTTCCAGCGATGTGGATCACCCTTAATCCAGTGAAGGACAACTTGTGCATCTGTCCAGTGGTACTGGGATACATTATTGGTAAGAATAGATGTATGTTTTATTACCCAGGCAGTTAATTGTGTTGCCAATACCGCACCGCAAAGTTCAACTCTTGGAATGGTCAATGGTTTCATGATAGTGCTATGACTATTCGACATCACTAGGCGTGTAAGAATTTTGCCGTCGCAAAATTTTATTCTAAAATATATACTAGTTGCAGAAGCCTTTGACGAGCCATCACAAAATGCATGTATTTGGAGCGAAACAACTTGTGACGAATAATACCCCAGCCATCATGGTATAGTTATGGTTTTTAAGTTTTGTAATTCAATAGGAAATCCTTGCCATTGGTTTTCAAGATCGAACGGTAATGGATCATCCCAGTCCAACGGTGCTAACTTTTGATCATCAGATAAATGTTGATAAGAACACACTGCCTTGAAAATTATTTTTCCTGTTACCAATATTGGATTGAGGAGTCCTAACGGATCAAATAGTCGTGCGATGGTAGAAAATACTTTTCGCTTAGTGAATTGACTACAGCTGATTTTAATGCTCCGATAACCTCATCACGAACTTTCACTGCCACATCCAATGAATCGTTGTATTGTATCTGTTTGTTACTCAATTCAATACCAACTGTAACATAAAATATTTACACAAAATGACAGTATTCATACTATGTCAAACTATCATAGAATATGGTAAGTGAAGGGATATAACAGTCTCCCCCACTTATAAAAACTAACAATTACATAATTTCATGTTATTCGTAGTCCCTTAAATGTGGCGGTCGTGTTTTTATTCTGGTTGATCTTCTTAACGTTTGAGGTTCCTCAACGCCTTCAATGATGCTCTCACTTACGGGATCATGTACTTCCCCGTTATTAGTCATCCCATGATCTGAAGTTTTGTCAGTCTGAACTGCTGGTATATCAGAAATGTATTGTTGATATTGTTGACTTGGCAGCGATATTTCATTATGTTGTTTTGATGTTACTTGAATTTGCTTTGATTGTACTGCGGTGCTTTTTAATTGATTTATGTGTCGCTTCAATGTGCTTCCGTCATCCATTTTTACAAGATAGTGTAAACGACCAAGTTTTTTCAGAACCTTCCCAATTTTCCAGATTCTTTTCCAGAATCCAGAATTGCCTGGATCCTCTGACCTTCTTTTAGCGTTCGAATACCTCGAAAGTTCTTGTTTGTTTCCTTCTGGATAACGGGCTTAATTGTCTCTAACTGAATTCGAATTTGACAATTAAGATACAATTCTGAAGGGCTGCTTTCTCCGCCGATCAACGGTGTAGCTCTATATCTCATAAGAATTTCATTAACCTTCTCGTTAATAGGTCTCGCATCCGATGCCATTGCTTTTAATTTCCTTTTTAAGGTTTGGATGCTTCGTTCTGCCAAACCATTTGTGCTTGGATGGTATGGAGCAATAAATTTTTGAAATATACCATTCTGGTTTCAGTATTTTTTGAAAGTATCACTTGTAAATAAAGTTGCGTTATCCGATACCAATACGTGAGGAAAACCGTGACTTGAAAATATTCTGTCTAAACGTTTGATAGAGCTCTCTGAATTTGGAGATTGCTTTAACATACTTACTTCTGCCCATTTTGATTTCGCATCAATGACAACTAAGAAGTAATAACCTTGAAATGGACCGGCATAATCTAAGTGAATTCTCTCCCAATTGGTTTGTGGTGATTCCCAATGATGAACGTGAACCTTATGTGGCATTGCCTGAATTTTAACACATTCTTCACAAGATCTTACTGTTTGCTCAATGTCTTTATCGATGCCTACCCAGTAACAATATCTTCTAGCTAATTGTTTCATTTTTTTAATGCCACAATGAGTACGGTGAAGCTCTTTTAATATTATGCTTTGCAAACTGTTGGGTATGACAGCTCTTGAACCTTTAAATATAATACCGTCGTTTACGTAAAATTCTTGAATGTTGTTAGATTTTAAAATATCTGTTTTTAACTTTGATAATTTTTCATCTTTTCCAGTTTCAAATGCAAGAATCTTTGAATCTAATTGTTCGTTTGAAATTTCAAAAATGGTTGTATAACAGATTTGACTGACATCCTCGTTGATGCTTTTGTCTGTAGATTTTCTCGAATTATTTGCTGTTGCTCTTGATAAACAATCCACGTTTGAGTTTTCAATCCCTTTTTTGAATATAATTTCATAATCGAACCCTTGTAAAAACTCTGCGTAACGTAATAATCTTGATTGAGTAATTGAAGGTAACTTTGCATCGTTCCGAAATATTCTGGTCAATTGACCAGTTTACCGAAATATTCTGGTCAATGTCAATTACAAGTTTGAAATGCCTTCCATACAAATACATGAAAAAATGATCAACTGTAAATACAATTGCTAATGCTTCTCGATCAATTTGGCTATAATTGCTTTCAGATTTTGTAACCGATCTCGACGCAAATGCGATTGGCCTTTCCGAGCCGTTTATATTATGTGATAAGACGCCAGCAATACCTGTTGGACTTGCGTCAGTAGCAACAATTATAGGTAATGTTGGATCGAATGGTATCAGTACCATATTACTACACATTATGTTTTTGAGTCTTGTAAATGCTCTTTTGCAATCGTCTGACCAATAAAACTTTTGATTTTTTTGAAGAATTTTTCTTAGAGGATATGTTTCCGTGGCTAAATTTGGAATGAATCTTGAATAGTATGACAACATTCCTAAAAACTTTTTACGTCATCCGCATTTTTTGGATGTTCTATTTTATTTATGGCCTCTACTTTCTCGGATGATTTTGAAATTTTATCATGTTCAATTTCGTAACCCAAATACCGGATCTTAGTTTTAAAAAATTCACACTTACTTAAGTTTACGTTGTAACGACCTTTCCGGCCTCTACCGCGGCCGGGGTATACTCAGCGTATACCAGGGTTCAGTACAAAAAAAACTCAACAACCAAAAAATTTAATAGGCCATATTAAATTACAAATAATTATAAAAAAAAATACATTACACGATTTAACATACTTCAAATAATTATATTTAACTATCATGGATATTCTTAGAAAATTAAATAATACTTCAAAAAGCTAAAACAAAACATACTTCAATTAATTATATTTAAATTTTATGGATATCTTAATTATTATATAAAAGAAACTTAACTCGGAGTACTTTCAAAAAAAACTAAGTAAATAAATAATTAATGTAATAGGTAACAGTATTCATTTAGTTATTATTGCTATTCTGGCAATTGATGCCTTATTGTTGTTAACGTTCGCGCCACTGCTACTGTCGCCGTCGCCGTTGCTGTCCCAGGTGTCAGTTTGATTTTATTACATTCAATGCATTCGATACTTGATTTATTGATATAAAAAAAACGTTCATTGGATATATGTTATTGAAATATAAAAATTGTTAGATGTTAACTCTTTTCTATTGTTTAATTTCGTATTTATAATTTAGTTAGTAATATATTTGAATTTCTTTAAACACTTCATTTGGTTTCCTTTGTGGTTAATAATGTAACATATTCTGCGGTAAAGCAAAGGCACTAGAGATAAACACACGTTTCTCAAAAAAAATTGGGGTGTTTTATATAATTTTTTTTTTTTATATTTAAAATACTTGATAGTTATTATGGTATAAAACACTGTTCCAGAGTATAAATTTATATATTAAAATCTTCACGCCACTTCCGATAAGAGTTTCATATATATCTTTTTTTTATATTTCTTGTGTATTTCTTTGCGGATCACTGAAGTTAAACTCTGTCATACGTTCTGCCCGTTCCGTTCTAAATAAACTCCCCAAGAAGACAGAAAATCCTCCGAATGCTCCTTTTATTTACTTTTTTATAACTGCTTAACTCATACTTTTTAATCCGCCGTTTCTCGGTCAATCCACTTAATTAATGTTTTCTACTTCGAGACTCACGAAAGCTTTCCATTATTTTGTTATTGATTCTCTTACCTTGCAATGTTTACGCTGCATTCTCAGCTTTTCCTATTACTCACTGCAACTTTTGGCGATCAAACGAAAATTATAACAAAACAAATTAAAATGACATTTCTCATATTGCAGGTTTTTTTTTTTTGTTATAATTTTTATAAGCGTGTTTGGATGTCAGTGATTTTTTTTATTTATTTTTTTTAAATTATTTTAAAAAAAAAAAAGAATCATCACTGTAAGATCAATTTTATTTTTACTTCAAAAATTGATCATTACAACGTGTAAATCATATTGTTGCAGTGTACTTAAACAATTTAATAAATTATGTTCACACTCTTCTAGAGTAGATCCATGTACAAGTATGTCGTCGAAGTAGGATACTGTCTTTGATAAATCTTGTAATATGTTATCAATAAATTTATTAAATTCAGATGGTGCTGTTTTAATACCAAACGATAGTCTATTCATCCGAAATGTTCCTTTGTGTGTTGAAATTGTTTGTATTTCACTCGATTCTTTGCTAACCTTTAAATGTAGATACGCTTTGAACAAATCTAATTTGCAAAAATATTTTGAACCTTTTAAACTATTTAGTATATTTTGTTTTCCGAAACGGGTAGTTTGAAGAAACGAGAAATGGGTTAACGCTTGCCTTGTAATCGACACACAACCTTACTCCTCCGTCTGCCTTTGGAATCACTACCAGTGGCGAACCCCAATCACTTGCATCGATTTTGCTTATAATGCCTTCTTTTTCCAGCATTTCTAGTTCTTGATCAACTTTCTCTTTTAGCGCATATGGTATCTCTCTAGCTTTCATAAAAACAGGTTTTGCATTCTCTCTTAACCTCAGATTTAATTCGATATTGGGAACACACCCTATTTTCTGCGTAAATACTTCTGGAAACTTCTGCCTAATGTCATTTATTTCTGTTATTGAATTTACCACTTGACTCTCTTGTTTGTTTATTTTATTGTCTATCTCATGGAGATTTATTTTTAACTTCCTGATCCATGACCTTCCTAATAGTGGTGAATACTCATTTGACACAATGTACATGCTTTCTTGAAAAACGCGATTACCATACTTAACTTGAACTATAGCTACTCCGTCTGGCACAAACACATTTTTTGTGTATGAACGGAAAGCTATCTTAGATCGCGAAACATTTACTTCTAAATTCAAGTTTTCGAATAATTTTTTTGGTATTAATGTATAACCTACGCCTGAATCTACTTCGAATTTTTGATACTTTCCATTTATTTGTACAGTTACGAAATATTTTGGTGAAACATTGCTGTCTATTTGTTTGTTTTCGAAAATATCAACTATTATATTATAATCATGAATTTGATTGATTTCTGTTTCATCGTCACTGACTTGATTTGTATCTCGCATTAATTTCTGAATGCATACTTTTTCGACGTGTCCCTTTTTTCCACAAGTGTAACACTTTAGCTTAGAAGGATTTACCCGACAGTCTCGGACTCTATGATTACGGCGGGCACATCGAATACACAAGTCTTTAATACCGAGCTCTTCGAAGTTTATTTTTGAACGTTCATTAGTTTTGAAATTCATTCTTGGCAGATTGTTTTTGTTTGTAACACGATTGATATCTGTGACCGAATTTTCAGTCGCTTCTACTTGATTTGCCCTTATCTCTCTGCTATCACTTTTTGATGCTTCTAACACAACCGCTTTCTCTACAATTTCCTTGAAGTCTATATTTTGAGTCTGTAGCAATTTTTCTCGAATTGAATTATCTTTAACCCCACGAATAAATTGGGCTCGTAAAAACACGTCTGCTATATTTGCTTTGCACTCACATGGAGAAATAAAATTGCATTCAATGACCATACTTCTCAGTTGAGTCACATATTCAGCAATCGATTCATTTTCCTGTTGATAAATAGATAAAAACTTATGCTGAGACACCAACACGTTTCTTTTCGGACAAAGATGATCTTCTAATGCTTGAATAATTGTATTGTAAGGTAATTCCGTGACTTTTTTTGGTGCCATCAATGCGACTACTAATTTGTAGTGAATTGCACCAATTGAATTTATCAGCATTTGGTGGCATAATTCTTTATTTTCGAAAATGTTCTTGAGTTTTAAGTAATTTTCAAATCTTTGACGGTATAAATTGAAACTTTCCTTGTTGCCGTCGAAATTTTCAAACGGTAGTAGTAATGTTTGCGCCTGCCCCGAATTTTTCTCTGGCTGCCAACTACCCAATTGTTGAATAAGCTTATTTTGATTTGCATTAAATGGATCTAACAATTGTGCAAATTGAGAAGCATCCATTTATTATTTACTTTTTTTTTTCTCCTCGTCGCCAATTATTGTATCTGTTTATTACTCAATTCAATACCAACTCTAACATAAAATATTTACACAAAATGACAGTATTCATACTATGTCAAACTATCATAGAATATGGTAAGTGAAGGGATATAACACGTTGCTATAAAGTATATCATATATTTCGTCTTCGGCGATTTGCTGAATTACTCGGATAGCAGTATATGGCGCAGAGGCAGTACCAAACGTTACGGTATTCAGGCAATACTCCAGAATCAGGCCGTCATTATTTCGCCACAGAATTCGCTGAAATTGTGCGTCATCAGGATGCATGCTGATGCATCTATACATTTTTTCAATGTCTGCTACAAAGACATATTGATGTAGTCTCCAATTTATCAAAACTGCCGCCAAATCGTTCTGTAGTTTAGGACCTACGCATAGAATGTTGTTTAATGATTTGCAGTTTGATGTTTTACATGATGCATCAAAAACAATTCTCAATTTTGTTGTGAGGCTTTCTTCTTTCAAAACTGCATGATGAGGCAATACATAAGAGTTATTTATTGGTACGTGATTTTGATTCAATTTGCACCGTTGTTGTTCAGTAGAGTATGCACGGGTAGCGTGTTCTAAGCTGAAATATTCGTTAATCACCTGATGGTACTGTAATTGGCTAGGAATGCTGAACAAATCTTTCATAATATGCATAAATAAAATTCGGGGATTATTGTATCGAGTCACCACTAGTTCCCATGCAATGGGATAATTAGCTTCTGTCAACTGCATGTTGTGAATATCTTAATCATTGTCGTCTGGGAGCGCCTTTTTAAGAAAGTGGAACTTCTGAATTAAACTTATCTCTTTGTTGGTATGAATTAACCGTTCAAATGCATCGTGAAACGCAGGCCAATCGATATATTTTCCAAAGAAGGTGGGCACAGAAGAGTAGGTAGTTTTATGTGTGCTACAGGTTCTGGCATCGGGACAATTACTGGCGTTGATTGTGGTGGAGGATATACCTTTTCGAAGCTCTCTTGTATAGTGCAGAAAGCATCTAAATGAGTTTCATCGAACTTCTCACTTACACATTTCACAAAATATTCAGATGTTCGATCGTTGCTACTACTTACTATTGCTTCATGAGTAACTTCAAACTGTTGATATTTTGTTAGTAATGTTTTATGCGATTTCATTCCTCGAAAAGCAATCACGTTGCAGTTGGTTAAAGTTACAGCCGACAATTTTAAATGCAACTTATAAAAATGTTCTTTTTCTTCGATGTTCCCCCCATGGGCCACCAAATATGTGTAAGTAAATATCTTGAACTTACTTAATGTGGACTTGTTTTACTTTAATTAATAAAATATCCAGATTTGTGCATAAGAACATTTATAGGTTTATTAAAAAATGATAACTATAATTAATATAAAATATAAAATGCAGCACACAAGCAAAACACGTTCGACTTTTTTCTCCTTAACAACCCGAACACCTTGGCAACGAAACACGTCACTGCACTAACACAAAATTGAACCGGTCAAAGCTAATACGCCAACCGCACCATCTGCAATTAGTACCAACTCAACTTCTGGTATACGTTCCCACCCTAACCCCTGAACAAGGGCGTATAGAGCGCGAAGGTCAGCATACCGCATCCTCTCTAGTCTCAATGCCGCGGATCCTTTCTCGCTCTCAGAAAGCGATAAGGCGTCACTAAAGTGGGCAAGGGAAAATGTCCATCTCCGGCACTCTGACATCGCTTCTACCTCTACACCTGCTCAGAAACGACAAAGGTCGATTGTGCAGGCCGGTAAATCAACTTTGACAAGCGCTCCTAAGCGCCCTAAATTTGGTCCTCTGAGACTCCCATCTCTATCAAAACCTCTCAGTGAGATAGTCAAGGAGAGCCTGACCTGGGCCATCATCGACGTTGGCAATAGTGATGGCACCATCTCTCCAGCAAACTGGAAGAAAGTCGAACGGGCTCTCCTCAAAATAAATATGGAAATTATTGCCCTCAACCCTGGGCCATCTCCTAGTTGTAAAGACGCTGGATGGTACCAGGGCCATATTAAAATTATCTCCTGCTCAGACCAGCGCTCCGCGGATCTTTATAAATAGGCGATCGAAAAGGTTGGGGAACTCTGGCCCGGCGCATAGCTCAGAGCTGTTTCGGTGGAAAATATACCACAACGCCCCCGCTCCAAAGTGTGGCTTCCTTCGGAGCTTACTTCCCCTGAGGAAATTCTTTCCCTTTTAAGGGCCAGTAACATTGAGCTCCCCACGCATAACTGGAAAGTTGCGAAGCTCAGTGACCCCAAGGGCGACTTCGTCGAAGCCGTCGTAGTTCTTAACGAACAATCTTTGGCACCCCTTCAAGCCCGTAATGGGGTGATTCACTATGGCTTCGGTTCGGTCACCTTACGTGTTTACAAAAGTGACTCTCAAGCCGCTAAACAACAACCTTCTGGGGGTCGATCTCCTTCGGAAACGATCTCCGATGACGGAATCGGTTCCATCTCCGTTCCAAATAACCCCGATGCAGGGACTTTCGATTTAATCGGCACTCCTTCCTCCGAAGACGGAGGTAGCGTAATCTCGTCTTCCGAACTGGTCGGCGAGTTCTTTACAGGTATGGCGCTTTCCCGGGAGACCTCACCGATGTCGGATGAGGAAGAACTGGACAGTACCATAGTTGAAAAACAACCAAGCTGTTGAAGGTCGTCTACATTAACCTCCAACACTCCAAAACTGCTTTGGCAGCCCTTATCCTCCGCCTAGCTGAAAAAGGAGAGGACATAATGCTGATCCAAGAACCTTGGATTGTAAACAATCGGGTTTGTGGACTGAATACAAACGGCTATCGGTTAGTATTCACAGAAGGTCAAGGTAAACCAAGATCTTGCATTCTAGTAAAAAATAACATAAATGCCTTTTTACTCCCTAGGTTCAATGACAATGACAATGTAGCCATGGCCATCGAATACGACTCCAAGGCCCTTTGGATTGTCTCAGCATATATGGCACACGATCACGGTGCCACTCCACCACAGGACTCCCTCAAGCTTCTGGTGTCAGAGGCAAATAACAGTAGGATCCCGGTGATCATAGGAGCTGACGCCAACGCACATCATGAGATGTGGGGTAGCACAAATACTAACGCGAGAGGTGAGTGTCTATTTGATTTCATTCTTGCAGGAAACTTGGTGATCGCTAACATAGGTAGGGAGCCAACCTTCATGAATTCAATTAGAAGGGAAGTTCTCGATATCACCATGATTAGCGAGCACTTCTCTTACTTTATTACTAAGTGGTCCGTATCGCAAGATTGTTCCTTTTCTGACCATAGGTACATCAATTTTGATCTAGATTTTGTGGAGAACCCTGAAATGAACAGATCATTTAAACCTTTAAATAGGAAACGCACTGTATGGCCTATTTTTCGAGCCAATCTGGAATCCAACTTACAGTTGGACCCTCCCACTATTCTCAACTGTTCCGATATAGATCGAGCGGTTGACCTTCTCACATCAGCATTTAGATGCGCCACAAACGCGGCCTGCAAGCCACCCGAATTTAGGGGCAAACCCAAACCTCCTTGGTGGAACTTAAACATTGCAAACCTCCGAAAAACCTGTAGAAAACTTTTTAATAATGCTAAATCAACAGGAAACTGGGTTCCATATAAAGAGAAACAAAGAGAATTTAAATACGCCATTAGGCGGGCCAAAAGGGCAGCTTGGAAAAATTTCTGTGGCAACATAGAATCATCTTCCGAGTCAAGCCGACTGCGCAAAATCCTCAATTCCACCCATAAGACACTCGATTGTATCCAGGCTCCAAATGGTCAATGGACCAACTCCAGTAAGGAAACTCTCGACATCCTTCTGGACTCGCACTTCCCAGGGAGTATAGCCTCTGATGTGGTTTTATCAACTCAAATCAGCTTACCCCCTCTAAATAATCCTAAACCGTTTCAAGTGACCAACACTCAAATAAAGTGGGCTATCCAAACTTTTAAACCTTATAAATCTCCAGGTCCGGACGGAATTATTCCCGCAGATATTCAACAGGGTGAATTCGTAATCCTCCCCTGGCTTCTAAGTATTTACAATAGTTGTATTAAGCTTATGTATGTCCCAAGCTGCTGGAGAGTGGCTAGAGTAATATTCATTCCCAAAGCAGGGAAAATAACTCACTGCAGTGCCAAGGACTATGGACCAATCAGTCTGTCTTCTTTTCTTCTGAAAGTACTGGAGAGAGTTCTTGATTTGCATATCAGGAACAAGATAAACCCAGCGCTCTTATCTCCATCACAGCATGCTTATACTAAAGGCAAGTCTGTCGATACTGCGCTTCATGCACTCATCTCGCAAGTTGACCATTCCATCTCTCTCAGGGAATATACACTTGCCACCTTTCTCGATATTGAGGGCGCTTTCAACAATGTCTGCCCCAACGGTATCATAAAATCCCTCTCAAAGTTAAATCTCGACAATAGTCTGGTTAAATTTATAGAGGCCCTTCTCAAAACTAGGATTATCACATCCGACATCGGAAGTGTTCAATCCTCCAGAGCAGTTTGTCGGGGAACGCCACAAGGTGGGGTTCTCTCTCCTCTTCTATGGAACATAGCGGTTAATTCGTTGTTAAAACTTTTGGAACAATCCGGATGTAGTGTTATAGCTTATGCGGACGACATTGCTATTGCCTCA